GGAAGTTATCCTTAATCTCACAAATAAAATGACTTTACCATTGTACTCTCGGTTATTGTTTGAGCGAGGCTTCTCACTGAGGACAAATGGTCAGTGATCAGCCGTGACAAATGGGACATTGACAGAAGAGTAATTATCAGGATGCAGCATCGCAGCGAGGCCAGGCTAGTTCATCTCTCGGAGCAACACACTGGTAATGAGAAAGTCTCACTCCTGTAGCAACAATGGAAGTGTGTGAGATTTATCATGGAGGAGGATGAAGAGTGGGAAAAGAAGTAGAGTAGAAGGGAAGAGTCCATGGTAGAGGGAAGGCGAGGGAGCTTGAGAGGAAAGCGGTGGGAATAAAAAGTGAAAAAGGAAAGTAGAAGAAGTGGAATGAATGAGAAGTGAAAGAGAAAATGAAAGTAAAAGGGGAAGAGAAAGGTGAAGTGAGAAGTGGAGGTGATGAGTGGAGTAACGGTAGGTGAAGTTATAGTAAAAACTCAATGAGCGCATGTATGTACCGGTGGAGCAAGAACGGCGTAGGTGCCAGCAACTGGATGTGTAGTGAGCAACTGTAAAGTTGGAGGCTAAATGGAATAGGAGGATATAGGGAACAGGCAATTTAAAATTTTCCACTAAAATTAAGATATATTTGTAAAAAAATCATTAATGTGTAGTTGAAGTGCCTAATCCTATAAATTTTAATGGCCTTTTCGTATATGATTTAAAAAATACTGAAACAACAACAACAATAATAATAATAATAATAATAATAATAATAATAATAATAATAATAAATAATAATATAAACAGAAAAGGAAGAGTGTATTACTCACGAAATCGTAATGACACGATTGTAAACAAACCATACCACGGGTATGGCTAGCATACCACGGGTATGGCTAGCATACCACGGGTATGGCTAGCATACCCGTGGTATGGTTAGCATAGGCACAGTGGTGCATATGCTAACCTTCCTATGGTGTAGAAATATACCTAGTTGGATGAATCGTATTTGACTCTCTGATCGCGGGTTTTAACCCCACCCGTGGTATGGTTTGAAGTGTGTATTACTTTATCATGGCGTCCCTCACTATACTGTAGTATAAACAGTGACTCGCTTTATTAATGTGTCATTGCGTTTGTTAATATATTAGTGTATGTATTTTACTGTATTACTACAATTACACTAAAGGAATGTGTGAAGAACAAAAAGGCACAATACCGTGACTGGAACAATACACAACCCGAACATAGGAGACTGAAGCTTATAACGAAGCTTCGGTCCTCTGTGTGACTGGTTAATGATCCAAGTCGGACCGAAACGTTGTCATAAGTTGCAATCTTCAATGTGCGGGTTATTTTATAAAGGAAATGTTGACTGTGTCGCTTCATCAACGCTTTTAAAAAATATAAAATTGCAAGAGGTTGGATCATTTTTCATTGGTGCGTTGAAGTCTCTTGATCTGTGCCACGGGCACTCAAGTGTTCTAGCACCCTATTACTCAGTGGCTTTATTGCTAGCTCCCATCATCACTGAATTATTGCATCATCATTCTCATCATCATTATTATTATCATTATCATCATCGTCATTACAATACGTTATAGTCTTGTCGGAATCTTATATGTTATAGTTCAGACTAAATCTGCCTCCTGACATCTCGTTCAACCACTGCTTCATTCGTTGCTTCACAGTTGAAGTCACTGTATACAGTGGTGGCGAGGGCTTCACTCACTTCATTAACCACAACATTCCACAGTTCACTGTTATTACCTGCATGTTATACTCGTGTGTTCTGCCTAGATTTGATTTGCAGGTGCTCACGATGGAGTGTATTTATGAAGATAAGGGTGTTTGGTTTGTGTATGTGTGTGTGTGTGTGTGTGTGGGTGTGTGTGTGTTTATGTGTGTGTGTGTGTGTGTGTGTGTGTGTGTGTGTGTGGGGTGGGTGTGTGTGTGTGTTTATGTGTGTGTGTGTGTGTACGTGTGTGTGTGTGTGTGTGTGTGTGTTTATGTGGCGACGACCTTGCTCCTTCCCTACCCTCTTCCTCCCTTCCCTCAACCTTTCTATCTCTCCCTTCCCCCCCCCCCTCCCCCCTGCACCAAATATGACCATTGCCATGTAAGTGTACCGCTCCTGGACCGTTTGACTGCTAATGGCGTCGAGGTGATTACGTGTCTGGGTGACTAGCGATGAACTGTATTCTACTCATGATTTATCCCCATCGACCTTGCCTACGTAAACCTGGAACAACGTCACATTCGGCTATGCAATATAAACTTATATGTGATATTTACCGGTATCGGCAGGCTATCCAGTGAAAAATGGTACGTGATACCAACTAGATGTGAAAAGAACATTTATAGTACAGGACATTACACGTATGTGTCTTTCATTTCCCACAGGCAATCGAGTCATATTCGCTTCAGAACTTTCACAATATCCGTTGAAATTCTGTTTACGTTGCACAGTGATTAACACTTGGCTAGACAATTATCTTGTCTTCGCAGTGGAATCATAATTAAACAGGCACGAGAGGCACTATGAATTTTAGAAGCAGCTTTTGTTCTTTGTTTTTTTTTTTTAATTGGAAGCGGAAAAAAAATGTTTGATCACAAATGCCCAACACCAGTAAATTACCGGTTACCGTAAAATGTTAGGGATGTGGACACAGATGTAACTAATGTGACATTTTATCATGGCAACGTTTCGCTTTCAGGGAACTTGGTCGAGCCGCAACGGCTTGACAAAGTTCCTGGAGAGCGAAACGTTGTCACAATGAAATGTCACATTAGTTGCATCTGTGTCCATGAACCCAACACCGGTTACTTAACAGCTGAGCAAGTCATCATCCGGTAAACTCCCGTGTCAGGAAACACCCTCTTTGTTACATTAAAGGGCCCATATGCAGCTAATGCAACATTTCATTGCGGCAACATTTCGCTCTTCAAGAGCTCCTGCATACTTGGCGAAGCTCCTGGAGAGCGAAAGGTTGCCACAATAGAGTCTCATCAACTGCAGATGTGTCTCTTACCAACATTATTACAGATGTTTTCCTGTTTACTTGTGAACAAAACGCAACTCTTCGTTAGTTAAGTTTATATGATTTATGTCGTTTCAAGTGCGCTTTAATTGGAGGATTTCTCTCTCTCTCTCTCTCTCTCTCTCTCTCTCTCTCTCTCTCTCTCTCTCTCTCTCTCTCTCTCTCTCTCTCTCTCTCTCTCTCTCTCTCTCTCTCTCTCTCATACTATTTTTATATCTTTTTATTTATAGCATTTTTTTTACTAACTTCTTTGTTTATTTGAATTTTTATTCTTTATTATTCCCTTCTTCTCTATGTCCTCCTTCATCATCCGCCTCTTTCTCCATCCATCTCAGGTGAGGCGTCTTCAATACATCAACCTCGGAAAATTACTCTTCCGGAGTAAATCTCTCAAAACACGATCTTGATGGCATACTCCCGGTAACTTAATTAAAAAACTAATAAATGTTTGAGTAAACACACAGGAGACACGAACATCAAATGTTACGAGATGTATGTTTCTCACTCCAAGTGAGGTCCTCTTCAGCAGATGTTTCGTGTGGGTTTATACAAATACTGACGGGGGTGGATTACGCTTCAAAGTTTCCACTCAGTCATATGTGATTATTATATAATGCATTGTTAAACTGAAAATTCTTGTAATCGATTATTAAAAGGTTTTAAAGCAAACTTTTAAGATCAAATGGTTGGATATAAGTGTACGAGACTGAATATGTTTATCACTGGTATCATATCCCAACAGGTGTTAATAAGACAATATACAGAATCTTGTGTGTTACCGAGAAGACGCTTCTGCCATGGAATCATTCGTCATTATTTCAAATAATTCTAAAACAAAATTTTCATCTCCGTTATTCCTCTGTACGTATGTATGTTGCACACATTTTCGTTTGTTTTGTTTACGTATATTCTTTCTACTATTTTATTCTAGTTCGATTATTTGAAATATTGCTCTCCATATTTTTCTTTTTTTTAGTCTGGTAAGAAGCTTTTCTTTTATTTTTTCCTCACTGTCTTGCTATATAGGTAAATCCTCAGTAGATCACGATAGCTTTACCACGCAGGTTTGTATAGAGCAGCAGTAAGGTGATAATGATCTTTGTTACCGCTATTACACTTGCTAATAAAAATCCGTGTCAACTTTCTTCTCCACTAATAAACTAGCATCATTTCGCTTTCTTTCTATGCAACACTGTTTCCATGGGCGTGCTTGGAGAGACAGTTTCCTTACCCTCCCTCAGGATTAGTTCTTTGTCTTTTCCCGAGGAAACCCTTGCGCCTCTTTCAGTGTGGAAAAGATCCAGCGGACGCCCGTTTCTGTGTCTACTGTTAATGGTGTGTCTCTTACTCGAGTTCTTTATTTTCATGCATTGATGCAAAAATAGTCATTACAGTGAGGGATTTTGTTGACCATTTCTGTTTCAGTCTCATACATCGTCCAGAATTCCTTTCCAATTAAAATCCATTATGTTAAATTTTGCTCTTTGTAAATATTCTGTAATAGACTCTTTTTCTAAATATTAGAAAGTTCCTTGCTTAGGTTATCAAATTCTTCTCTCTCCCTCTCCCATAACTGATGAAGGGATACTTGTATGCTTACAAAATTACGAGAGTTTCATCTGTATTTTAAATTTGTCAAAAAATATTTAAGCATTATTTGCATTTCTTATAATTATTTGTGCGTATGTGTGTGTGTGTGTGTGTGTGTGTGTGTGTGTGTGTGTGTGTGTGTGTGTGTGTTGTGTGTGTGCGTGTGTGTGTGTGTGTGTGTGTGTGCGTGGTGTGTGTGTGTGTGTGTGTGTGTGTGTGTGGTGTGTGTGTGTGTGTGTGTGTGTGCGTGCGTGCGTGTGTGTGTGTGTGTGTGTGTGTGTGTGTGTGTGTGTGTGTGTGTGTGTCAGAGAGAAGGGTTCAGAGTATGTGTCAAGACGCGGTGGAACAGCAAATTTAATAGCCATAATAATCACACAAACTATATAGAATATGTATATTTTGTGAAATACATGCGCAAATTATGGTTTATATATAGCTATACATTATGGCGATCGCTGAAATATACAGATGGCAGCCCATAGATTTAGTATTATGCACCCATTTTGTGTATTTAAAAGCAATATTCGCATGATGCAACGAAGCACAGTATTTGCGCATCGGTGAGAGGAAATCAGTAATAGAGAAGCTGCAGAGAAAAAACCAGCAACACATCCTCCCTGGACGAGACTCCACACGCTCCTGAGCCGAGCTCCGCCCCGCTCCTGCCACACACCTCCCGCCTACCTTCTAGTACAGGTACACCTCACTTTATATATGTTATTCCAGTGCATAGAAGAACAAGTACAAGATTTGATGTGATGTCTTTTACTTTCTTGCGGTTGAGCTATGGTAATTTTGCCTAAGGAATATAAAGAGATGCGGGCTGTAGTTGCGTCGCATCGCGAAAATTTAACCTAGCGAATAATGACGTCATATACGGGGGCACGTGTGAGGGGTGGTCGGGGGCAACAGGTGAACTGGTCATCAGTGGTCCCCCGGCACCCACCTTGACAGCATCTCCACAGAGAAGGAAGCCCTTACCTCCACACTCTCTATACTGACCGAGTTTTACACCAGTCTTCCGCTCCTGAAGCTCAATATATTTGCGACAACACAAGTCTCGTAGTGAGGATTAAGACGGTTCCACCTCTCGACGTTAGCGTCGTTGGCCAGCCAGACGTGTAATATTCCAAATTTGGGTACATATTTGCCCTGTGTGAGGAGGAAGTGCAGGCAGCGGGAGGTGCACCGCCATCCGGGAGGAAGGATCTCACTACCCACCTGCTGTTGAAGTTTGGCTGCTGCACGAGTGTGAACAAATTCGACCGGAAGCTTCCCAGGCACGGGACGTGCTTGTGCAAGCAGTGTCTGTTATTACATATTTTGTATTAAGTAAATAAAGGAGCGTTGCATTTAGCAGTGAGAACAGTTGGGTTTCCTAATTTTCTTTGTATCTGGTTAAGTTCGAGTGATTTCAACTAGTTGCAAGTAGTGATCTGGAAGCGTTGGTGTTGGGCGTCAAGAAAGATGATGGTGAGGAGCGACCAGCAGCAGCAGGAGTTGCTCCAGCAGCGGCCACATTGTCTCTCTAATCACGACAACAACGCAGTTTCTGAGGAAAAATATGGCCTCCGCCCCAGAACTATCATTAAGAGGCTGCAGCAGGAGAGAGTTCGTCAGGAAGTTCCCAAAAGAACTGCGAGGCCTAAGTCGAGGCCAGCGCCTCTGTCAAAGTACCGCAGGAAGACTGCCAACGCCAGGGAACGTCACCGCATGAAGGAAATTAACAATGCGTTCGAATCCCTTCGTAAAGTTCTTCCTGACGTCATGGAGGTTGAGGCAGCATCTCCTTCCATGACCAAGATAACGACTCTGCGCCTCGCTGTTAACTACATCAGGGCTCTCTCTCACGTGCTACAGGATGAGAGTGATAATGATATGTGTTCTCTTGAGAGTTCACTGCAGTGTTCCTTCCAGGACTCCCTTCAGCAGTCTCTAGAGCGCTCCTTCTGTAAGACGACGCCATCACAAGACGTCTCCGTCACCACCTTCACCTACCAGCATTCGACACCGCCTTTCACTCAGCAGTACCTCCCTCAAGTGTCTCACTTATCGAGCTATTACTCCACTTCCAGTCACATCTCCAGCTCACCCTCCACATTGCGAGGATCACTAGGCAGTGCTAGCGACCTCGAGGACCTCCTTTCTGACGACTCGTGTCTGCTGGAGGACAACTTCGATGTTTTCCACGACATCCCCACCCTCTCTGTCCCTGATCCCTTTGATATTCTCTTAGGGGCAGAAAAAGACACACTTGTCTTCACCACGGAGCTGTGTAATTGATTTCATTTCTTTCAAGGTGAATGTGTGAATAAATAACAGTGTGACTGATCAACATTCCTTACGAGAGACTGCAGTCATTTCAGCGTGATATTCTCCTTGTAACACAATATACGTGGATAATCTTTAAGCAACAACTGGAAGACATCTCAGACAAAATTATTGCCTCCTACAGGTGAGGTGAATGCTTCGTAGGGCAAGTTTGTGTTGTTACCTACTACTGAGTTGTATGGCAATAGTTTTAAGACGTTAATAAGTATCTTGTTACCGAGAAGGTGTGTTTACCTCTATGCAGTGTTTATACTGAGATATTTTGTGTATGTGTGTACCTAGTCAGGTAGTTCTGTCCCCTTCTATGAAAAAAACATTTTTCACACTAAGGAAGGGACTCTACAACTTAAAAAGAAAATATTTCGTATTATCATCAAATGACTATCTAGGGGCATCGAACGCTCCACAACAGACACACAATGTGTCAGAACCACCACCATGTGCGATGCTAGTCTATTGTGCCATATTGTGCCAAGATCCCTGCTCTGTGAGCTGACAAGGAGTGTTGTCAGGCTCGACCTGCCATCATTCACGTGTGTGACCTTGCAATGTTTATGTACTTGACTTAAGAAGTGAACCCATATTTGTGACTTGTAACGTTTCTTACGTTTCAGAAACGTTTTACAATGACCAGCAATGTAGGCTATATATTAATTTAAAAATTAAGAAATACAAACGTTTGGACAGTTATAAATGTTCATTAAAACGTGTGAAAGATGATGTTACACTGTTTATTGTTTGATGTG